AGCTCTTGTAAAGAGCCTCCTTCCAATCTTTGCCCTCAACGGTGTGCACGTAGACGCCTTGCATGCCGCGAAGCGCCTCTGCGAGGGCCACGGATTTGCCGGAGCCGAAGCGGCCTGCAATAATCGTTGCATGCTGATCCCATTCCTGGATTCGGCGACGGATGTCTTCGATGATGCCGCGCCCGACCACTTTCTCCTGCTTTGTCTCTGGCGAGAAGGGCTGCATCATGCAGTCCACCACAGCTTGGACTCTGCCCTCTTTGGACTCCCGTTGGGCTCTCTCGGAGTCTCTGCGTGTAAACCGAAGTGCAACAAAGGCGAGGATGGCAGCCACCACAGTCCCCACGGAAGCACACAGGTTGACCAGGAAGTCCTTGGATAGGACTGGCCACCTGGCGATGTCAAGGCCGCGGTGCTCAGGCATGGGCTTCTCGTGGCCGCGCCATCCAGCCAGCGCGGCCTTCAGGAAGCATGACAACCAACAACATGCATCAAAACCGCTCTCGCTCCCTCAAATGGTGCAGCAGATCACAGCCTGAGGGGGCAACCAGACAAGAGCCAGCAAGAGCTTCCCAAGCGTACGCTTCACAACCATGGCTGGCGACACGAACCCAGAAGATCACTGATGCATCCACACCGCGCTGTTCAAGAGCCACACTGGCGATCCACAACACGCAATCGTGAGCTTACCGCAAGTCCAACATAGATGCTGAGGATCCGACCTTCATTGGCTTCCGGACGGCACGATGGTCAAGGAGCAAAATGCGAAGACCTGAGCGTTAGCTACTCTTACAAACATCCTACTCATGAAACTGGTCCTGCACAGCGAAAGCAATGCTACTTGAAGAAGCTCTCATCTATCAAACGCAAACACTCCTATCAGCCCTACCTTGCAAGCGCTTTGAGATCCAGACTTCCCGCTGCTAGCAGCAAAATCATGCCTAATCATGTGGAAATCTCCTATACTCCTACCTTAACCCCTACTTTCACCAACAACAGAACGCTCACTGCACTCCCAAACGTGTGCACGCCCAACGTTTGTGCATTCACTCAGAGTACCCTGCTGACCAGTCGGCTGGGTGATGAAGGAAGCACCTGTGCCCAGACAAAAAGGCCCGGGGCTTCCGGGAGACAGGAGGGTTGCGTACCTACGCCTACTCCTAGCAACACCCTCACTTGCACGACGCTCCTGCGATACTCGACAAGCCTGCACTCATTCCACTCCTACCAAGACACTCACAGCTCCCTGCTGACCAACCGGCTTGATGTTGAAGAAGCGCAGAGGCCCCGACACAATCACTGCAAGGTTGTCTACAAAATGCTGCTCGCTAGCTAGCCAGCTAGTTGTTTGTTCTCTCTGAAAAGTCTTGCAAAAATAGTAATGCTTTCTGCTGTCAATTGTTGTTCATGTTGCCGCCTATGTTAAATGCTATTCCCGTAGCCCTCCTTCGATCCGCGGCCTGGAAAAAAACAAAGTCTGAAAATGCATTTTTAAAAAATGCTCGTTAAACATATTACACAATACAGACAAATACCCGGGAAATTCACTCAAACACAACCAAAATATCACCCTTAATCATCCATGTCTTCTTTATTTTTGTCTAATGAGCTTTTCAACCCACAAGCGCTTTGAGCAAAAATACATGCTGCGCAATGATGCTCAAGATGCTCGCTCCGCCGAACGCGCAAGATGCAAAACAGGGCCCGATGTGAAGCTTGTGGTATGCTCTGTCCGTCCGCTGCTGCGTCAGGCAATGGAAAGGTTTTACGAACAGCGCGCCTCCAAACGTCAACACGCAGGGGCCCGATGCAGGGGAAAAGCATGAAGAGCAAACCTTGTGATCTGATCTGCAAGGGCGCCGGGGTGCGACCTCAAAGACTTTCGCTTCCAGTCACACACACAAACACACTCCCGCGCTAGCCCGCACCACTGCCCAAGAAGAGGATCATCGTGCCACACGTCAATGAAACAACAAAGCTCACTGCTCAGGCGGCTATGCCACGCTTGCACCGAATGGCTGACCACAAGCCTATCGTCTCCCAATAAAGTAAAGCATGGGCAAAATCAAAGTATTTCCGAGCCCTTCCTACACAAGCAAGCAACCCCACGACCCCGTGGTGCCCCAACTCCCCGCCACCGGAATTTTGCTCGGACCGAGCAAGTCAGGCAAAACGGTGGCCTTGATCTCCACGATTCTCGAACAGTACCGTGGCTGCTTCGAGCGCATCTACCTCTTTTCCCCCAGCATCAATGTAGACGACGGCTGGAGGCCCGTCAAGAAACACATCGAAGAAACCATGAAGGTGAACACTGACCGGGAACAGGTCTACTTCGAGAACTGGGACGAGGCGGCCCTGCAGCGCATCATAGACCAGCAGCGCAAGATCACCCAGGTGTCCAAGCAAATGAAAATGAAGCAGCTGTACCAGATCTTGATTCTCATAGACGACTTTGCAGATAGCCCCAACCTGCACAAGAGCACCGGCGATTCGGCGCTCGACACGCTGTTTGTGCGCGGAAAGCATTTCCAGATTTCCACTTATCTAAGCACCCAGATGCTGCGCCTCATCAGCAACGCCGTCAGGGTCAACGCACGGTTTTTCATGGTCTGGCGCCTAAGGAACCAGCTGGAAAAAGACAGCCTCTTAGAAGAGCTCACGGCCCTGGTTTCCAAGAAGCAGCTGGAAGCCATGTACGAGGAGGCGGTCCGAGAGCCCTACAGCTTCTTGTACATCTACCTGCTCAAACCACGAGACGAGATGTTCCACATTCGCTTCGACAAGCGCTTTCAGATAGGCCCCGCGTCTTTAGCAAACGCAACGCCACATGGGAGCCTTCCTGTCGACGATAGCCAGCAAGCTTCTGGGCAGCAGCACCCTCTGCCAGAGCGAGTGCAGCAACGTTAACTGCTGCACCTCTGCTGCCGCAGTCACCCCTCCAAGCCTCTCCTTGGACGCAACAGCTCTGGGCACGGCCCTCGCACTGGACACCGCAGATCTCGACGGATTCGAGGGATTCGACCGGCAGCCTGCCAGGCCCTGCAAGCCGGCTGTTTGGTAGGAAGAAAAAGAACATGACGACCATCTGGGTAGATTCGAGGAAACGGGTCGCAGGCACGGACAGCGACTTTGAATTCGACGTAGGCGAAACAGTGCACCTGCAGGGGTCGGCCAGGCTGGGTGTGTTCAAGATCAGGGTGGCAGACACCTTCCTCAGCACCGATCGAGGGACTTACGTGTATTAGCGAGACACGGCGTTGGGCACCCTGAACTGGGCACAACTGCCCACGGGAGCATACACGGGGGTGAGGCTTGCCGCTTGGGTGAGTTCCAAGTTCCAGCTTTGCCGCCGCGACGTATGTGGAGTCGCGCAACGAGCTGGAAGTTGCTTACGACGGCAAGAGGTTGATCTTGAACGATCAGGAACTGCGAACGCAGTTCCCCGGAAGCGGCAACTACCCCCAAGGCGCCACACCCAGCAAGCCCTTGAGCATCAATCACTTGCTTGGACCCAGCTTTATCAACGAGGCGGGCAACCAGCAGGTGTTCACCTTCGTGCAGATGCAGCCGTACTCGGAAATTTACCTCCGATGCAGCAGCCTGGCCAACGCCGCCGACACCGTCGGGCCTCTGGGGCACGACATCATCGCCAAGATCGTTTGCAAGCAGGGCGTTGGCCATGGATGGTCGAAGCAGTGAATCGAAGAGTTACGCAGCTACGCTGGGCTGGGGCAGAACGCGCTCAAGTCCTCAGGGCGAGCCAACAGCTTGCGGGGAACACCATGCCCGGTCAAGACGCGTTGCCTTTGCGACAATGCTAGTAAACAAAACATGGAAGAGCAACGAGCATTAGGTTTTCGCAAGCGACCTCGCTTCTCTGAGGCCCTGGACTACTTTTCTTTCTTTCTTTCACAC